AAAGAGTCAACAAGTCTATAGGCAGCCCGCATGGGCTCATTGCAAAACACAAGCCACAGAGAATGATAGCTGATGCCTCCAGGGAACAGATTTTGCACACCCAAGCTGTGGTACCCCCTGCACTCTCAGCAACAGCTTCTGTCTTACCGGCGCACCGCTGGAATCCTGCAAGTCTTTGGTCCCCTCTGCAGAAACGCTGAGCAGCTGGAGAAATCCAGCAACGTGGGTTTAAACTGCCTCGCTGATTTTTGCCCTTCAAGAAGCATTAAATTCAATTGTTCCACGTGGAAAGAAATTACAACTTTAACAGAGGCAACAGTTCTTTCAGCAGCTGCCAGCTGTGCCTGCGGACAGGCAGGCTAGAGAGAGCCAGGAGCATCCCCCTCCTTCCAGTAGGCACAAAACTAGGTGTGGGACCTCACCAATGACTATTTTACTCCCCAGGTCCACGCTTACTGTGCTGTATGAGTTGGTACTGAACATTTAGCCAGAGGGGACATGCCAAGGGGAATAAGGCTTGCGCAGAGTGCCTGTGTGCATGCCTAGGGAGTGTTGCTGCATGTCTGGTTAGCGCTGCTGTTGCGAGAAAGCAAAATTCCCCTCTTGTGGCTGTGCACAGCTCAATGTGATGCATTTTCCTGGCTGCTACTGAGAGGAACCACGGCAGCTGCCCAGCAGATGGCAACAGCCCTGCGCAAGGTGCACAGCACCGCACAGCCTGGCCCCGCGCCTCTCACCTGCAGGAGTTTCAGCTGACCTCCTTTGCAGATCTCAAAAAGGGCCTCCCTATCACCTTGTCAGCCCAAAGCACAAGTTCCCACGGCTAAAAATCAGCCTTTGTGCTATTTATTGTGCTCCGGGGTCAGTCTTTACAGAAAACAGCCTTGCAAAGGCTCTGCCTCTCCTCCAGCCACCCTAAGGTTACACATCTCCGTGCCCAATCCCAGTGTAACTCCAGCAGCACACCGAATTTTTGTGGCTTGCTTTCATTTTGGAAGAATCAGCTGCTCTGCAGTGCTCAAGTGGGCTTATCCCAGGAGTCTAGGCAGAGAGCCCTTGTCCTACGGCAAGGCCCAGCAGGTACCTGGAAAGCTAACTCCAAATTCACCTTTCCCCTCTGCAGAGCACTGCAAACAAGTCCATGTACCTCAGAATTGAGTCATGAGCTTCATGGGAGTTTGCAAGGGAGGTGAGGATAACTCCTACCTTCCAGTTAGTCAGCAGCAAAAGCTGCACTAGCCCAGCCTGGGGGAAGACAGGCGAGGACTTAGGTGTCTGGGCAGAAAGACTTCAAGCTCCCTTTAAATAGCTTTTACAAAGCAGGGTAGACCAAATCACTGTCATTATTTTTTTTTGGTGATGTTTCCCTTCAGAAGTAGATAGCAGGAAGATTGTCATCCAGCTGCCCTGCAATCACCACACTTCTACCTCGGAAACACGCTACCTGGGGCTGCAGGCAGGTAGCCCCGGCAAGGTGCTGCTCTCCCTGCGCCGGAGCGGGCGTACAGGGGATGAGATCCCTCTTGCAAGCGTGCCAGCAGAGTGCTGGGGACTGCGATGAGCCCCCTGCAAGCACAGCTGGGCGCACAAGAAGCCACGTCTCTGCAGGAACTCAGGCTCCTGGGTTTCCAATCCCCTGCCAGCTGCTGCCTTAGGAGAGCCATGCGGCCAGAAATCCTCTTTGGAACCAAGTTTTAAGACAGAGGTGTCTGCTGGACAGACCTGGCAAGGTGCAACAGGAGCCAGAAGCTCCGCACCACATCAGGAGCCACACAAGCGGCTGAACTGTGGAACTATCTGACATCATTAAGGTCCCTGCGTGAGGTGTCAAAGTTCAGATCTTGTCCCTTTTGAGAGGCTTTGACAGCCACAGTGGAAGATGCAAAGTGTTGGTTCCTCTCGCTGTAGAGCAAACATTCACTGAAAGACACGGATACCGGGTACTTAGGGTTTTCCACAGATGTTCAGCTCCCTCTGATGACAGCCACCAGAAGAGGATGAGTCACCAAGAGCAACCTTATTAACAAAGAGAAGACATTTTCATTTAGACTGCTCAAAGCACTTGTTTACACTTGTTTGAACAACCATTTAGGTGAAAAGCTCTCTGTCAAGGCCCCAACACTTGTAAGAGCCAAGCACTCAAATCACTGTGATTTTGTGCTGTTTAAGGGGGAAAACAGCCAATACTCCCGATCCAGTAACCACGATTACTCTCAGTACCACAACACAGCAAACGCAGCACCTCTCCTTCAGCTCACCTTTCAAACATCCTCTGATGAGAAGAGAAAAGCTAGCTGTGCTCCTTCACCCCACGGCCCTGCCAAAGCAAGAGGGGCACATCCAGTGTCTGAAGTCCATCAACTGTGTTTCTGGGGGCTGAGAAAGAAGCTGTCGCATTAAAGAGAGTGTTTGGCTGCCTGGTGGTCCCATGGAACGTCAAGTTTTAGAGCTGCGTGTTCGCTGGGCACCATCTTCCCAGATCTGAAATGGGGACATCTGAGAATACAAACTGTTTTTTGGTGGCGTGGGAGGTCTACTTGGAAGAAAGGCAACACCTGGACTTTTGGAAGGGTGCTTTTTCCTCCTCCTCTCTTCCAGGTGAATCCAAGCAAGATGGAATATATATTGGGAAAAAACCCCATTTATTCTGTTTTCTGTCTTAACCATTTCCAGAGCAGCTGCCTGCTGCACCTAACAAAGAAGGACTTGCCAGAGCCCCCCCCCCCCCCCCCAGCAGACAGCTCTGCCAGGCAGGGCAGCACAGTGCTCTGGTGAAAAACACTCATTTGCTGCTCCCAGCAGGTTGCTTGGTACAACGGCTTCTCTCATCCCCCCCCCGCCCTCCCTGAAACAGCTCCAGCTTTCCAAGGTATAGCACTATAGGACATGTGGAATAAAACGTGCATTGGAAGCTCACTGCTCAGCTGAACGAGAACAAAAAAACACGCGCCCCAAGACACCAATTTATTTTTACACTCACAACGCTGAGTGGTATTTCTCGATCATGTTCTCATTTGCTGAACCTCTACAAAATCCTTGCAGGCTCGAAATTATTTCGAATCATGTATCCAAGACAACAAAGGTAATTCTTCCCCAGCATATTAAACATAGACACCAACAGAGCTCTGATCTTTAGACAGTTACCCTGAATTCAGTGTAAGAATTCATTTACATCTTTCTGAAAGGGAGATTTCAGGAATCATCACCTTTTCCCTTTGGGTCACCTTGTCGTTTCAAGGAAATGATGGCCCAGCAGCAGAACTATTTCATCCCAGCGGGGCACACACCCGGCTTGTTGGTATTCCTGCCCAGAATAGCTTGTAGCGCTGACAGAGCTCATCTATGCTAAATTAGCCCTTAGAAAACATCCCTGCTCTGAATCTCAGAAGATTGTCCCTTGACGCAGGTCTGAGGAGCAAAAAACGAAAGCCCCTGACTGCATGAGCACTGCGACACACTGTCACAGCCTCCAAACCGCTCAGTCCAGCGGTTAAAAAGCACATTTGTGACCTTGTACCGGACAGAGAAAGAATATGAAAACCCACCTCCCTTTCTGCTGCCTTCTATGCCTTCTACCCAGCTATCACTGGCTTTTGTGACTGTATTTCAAAAAGGAAAAATAATCTAATAATCAACACGTCCCTGAAGGGCTTCTGGGGGAGGAACCCAGGATCACGTGCTCTTAAGGCTGTGTTCATCCAAGCAGTCCTAAGGGAAAAAGCGACCTGCTCAGGGTGACAGTGCAAGCCCATTGACTCGATTGAAAATGGGAGCCAGCAAACCAGCCCAAGAGAAAACCCGCGCTGGGCTGGGAAATGGGATGATGACCTGGTCAACTGTCAAGCATCAGTCAAAGTGAGAGCTTCTAGCCACCTTAAGTGATGGACCTGTGCTTCTCACTAACACAGGGAAGACCAGCTGTCCAACATCCAGTTTATCATTAGGAAACTCAAAAGAATAGCTTGAGCCTTGTATCAAGAAGTCATAAGGCCAAAATAACATATTATAGACTATACAAAGCAAAGATGTATATTTGCATGCAAATATAAAGGAGGCTGGGAGTCTCTTTACAGGTAACAATTTCTCTGAGAAAAACATCCAGAGTTTCCAAGACACGAGAGTCAAAAACCTGAAGAGGAATGGTTGGAAAAGGAAAAGCAGGTGGAAGCTATTCAGTCCCCAGGTGGGACAAGGGAGCCAGCCAGCCCTTTGCTCTGAAGGCACCTGCAGCACCTTCTGCTCCAGGCTGGGAGGCATGGAGCAGGAATGGAGGAAGCCTACCAAGCGAAGCCCAAAAGGCCATAAACACAGACAACAGGTCACTGTAGCAGCAGCCTCTTTTCTAGCTGGGGAGAGCAGATACAGGACATCACTGCAGTGTGCTCCTGTGGTAAGGCATACAGAAGGGAACCCAGGGATGGAGGCTATAACTTTAACAACAGGAAAAAAACAAACATATCAGATAAGCATCCTTGATCAAGCCCAAGAATAGAGAAAATAAATCTATGTTTTTGTCTTCTGCCCTGCCTTTTACTGGCCAAACAGCATCGAGCGTCGATGCCCAACCACCTCTGCTACTCTCAGGTATACTTTTGGCCGGTACATCCCAAAATCAGGCTCAGGTTCTCTAACCTCAGAAACTCCAGCAATAAGACAAACACAACAGCAGCAGGCACCTTTCCCACACTGTTAGTGCTTCACCGCAAAAAGGGTCTCCCTCTTTCACCCAGGACACCATGCTCTGGCAGTTCTGCAAGCTCAGACAGCACTAGCTGTGGGTTTCTGCTTTAACACCAATTTTAACTTAAACAGCACTAAATGCTTGGGCAAATTCTCTGGGCCAGTCACCCACAGGTTAAAGAATTCGTTTTTACTACGTGTTAAGCATCCCTGAGCCCTGTATCACAGCAAATGCTCTTCTCCCCCAGCCAAACCCTCCATGCTCAAGTCTCACACTGTGTACAGCTGGTATTGCAGGAGCTAACAGTGCTCATACTTGCCTCAAACGTGACAAAGTCATCAAACTCATCAGGACAGGCCGGAGCTTCCTCCTCAGGGGTATATCCCATATCATACAACTGGCTGTCAGGATCTGCAAAGAAAAATAAAAGAGGAAAGAGAATCACCAAAAGAAAACCTCCACCCTGAAGCGAAGGACATCTTCGGGAGACATGACAGCAGCAGGACAGGAACTCCTTTTGCACGCACCGGTGCCTTCAGCTTTCAGAAAGGACCTCTGCTTCCAGGCATCCCACCACCATCTCGGGTGGAAGGCAACTGGGACAGCTGCTCCCTGGCAGAGGTCCCGCGAGGCCCCTCGCTGCTCCGATGGGGCTAGCACCTGGATTTATCCCTACCCTGCCATGGTCTCCATTCCTTTTCCTGGTTTCTTCCTTATCCCTGTTTCCTGCATCCTCTTATTCTTCTCCCAGAAGGCTTTAATCCTGCTGTGGGCAGGGAATACATTAGATCTATGTGTGACAGCCAACTACCATGGGAACCGCAGAGAAAGCAGGCTGCGCTGAAGCTTTTATCATCTACTGCTCCTCCCGTGGCCAGCCACATCAGGAGCCATCCTCACAGGGGGACAGGAAAATAGGAGGTTTTCCACAAGATTTCTTTAAAAAGAAAAATAAATTACTCCTCCCACCCCAAAACCCCCATCCGCAGCAGAGCTGAGCGGCACTTCTCCAAGCCCTTCGACCAAGGAAGGGAGCGTAAATCCCCTGTGTTCCCTCAAGCAACAGCTAACGCCTGATCCAGCACACGACCTAGATCACAGGCTGGAAACACCAAATCAAGATCAGATGCTGCAGTCCCAAAATAAATAGCAGGCTCAAAACCACATGCCTTGGAGCTGCAAACATTGCGGCACTAGGTTTGTCTGATGTTGATAAACTTGGCCGGGCAGAGGGGGTCATAATGTCAGTGCTCCTTGGGCAGCTCGGTGATCGCCCGGATTTGGGGAGGGACAGGCTTTCCTTTTACGGCTGCTTGAGGCAGATGATGAGAGCAGAGCTACGAAGCGGGGTCTGCTTTCTGCGTCCTTCAGGCTGGTGGCTTCCCAGCAGGCTGGCAGAGCAGCCAGTTCAAACAGCATCCAGGCTCGAGCCCAAACCGAAGGGGCACGTTCAGTCGTGTGCCGTTTTGCTGCAGCTGAGCAGCACAGCCCCCCTGCCGGGATCGTACGCAGGCCCCCTCGAAGGGTATATTCCCTGCACAGTCACAGCCAGGGCTCCCGCTTTGGGTCCACCTCCAGATATCAAGAAAGGCCATTTTTCATCAAGGGATCCGTACATCTAGTATGAAGCCAAGGGATTAGGGCACAGGACGGAGTAAGGAGTCAGGCTTGCAGCAACACCCCCCCATCCAAACAAACCCCAGTAGCTCTATGAGCTGACCATTGAATGCAAACACAGCCAGGAGATACTGGAGCCACCAACCCGATGGGTACAGGTAGCCCATGGGGGGTGGGAGAAGCTGAGCACATGGCACCAAGAAACAAGCCCTCCCCTAACCTGGGTCTGGGACTCCCAGGGGTTAGACTGTAAATCAAAACCAGGCATAAGCCAAAATGGTTTTCCAGAAACCAGCATATGATGCTGTGATCTACAGTAGGCACTCGGCAGCGTCCATGGCTTCAGCAGATGAAAGGTGCTCTTGCTCACAATTTATAACTTTAATATCCCCACTGCTCTCCCCGCTTGCCAGGGCTCCTGCCTGTAACCCTGAGCAAGGCAGCCAGGTGCACGGGAAAACGCTGCAGCCCAAGGCAGACTCAGGCCACCTCCTACTCTAACTAATGGGTTTAGCACTTAAGGCTGTATTCCCCCTCTCCTCAAACGTTACCCTGTCCCCACCCGCACAGCTCCACCCGTGGGTCTGAGCCTACAGTCGGGAGTTTTCCCGTTAGTTATCCCTGTTGCTATTCTGGGATTTGAGAGCCTCCTTGATGACAGCAGGGAGGACCGAGGGGACGGGGACAGTGACCTGCTTGCTGCGAAGCCATGGGAGCACCTGGGAGTGGGTCTCGCCGAGAGAAGCCTCTCCCCATTTCTGGGAAAACCAAACAGTGCTCCTCAAAGGCAATCCACGTCACATCATCGAACCAGAGGGGACAGCCAGCCACGTCTCTTTCTGACTACAGGCCACGGCAGGCAGGCGATGCCCATCTCCAGAGAGGTGGCTGGGATGTGCCCGGGAGCACGCGAAGAGCCGGATCAGCTCATGGGGACACAGGCTGCAGGCACAGTGCCCTGGTCCCCTGCCTGGCCAGGGCTCTGCCCTGCGCCATGTCCCACCCAGCATGAGCCCTGGGGACAGCTCTGCTCTCCGCAGCCTCCGAGCAGGCCCTGGCCCAGCACAGATGCTTCATCTGCAGCCCATCTGAATCCCTGAGCCGACAGCAGCAGGACCCCGGCCAAACAGCTGCCAGTGCATCCAGCTGCCTGCTCGCACGCTTCTGCTGGGCATGGCCGGGCAACCCAGCCAGCCTTAGCAGTGCCCACCCTGCAAAACCATCTCCAGTGCTCCTGGTGGCATCCCAGGGCAGCCCTGGGAACCGCAGAGCACCCCAAAGGTGGTGGAGCCAGGCACAGGCTGCTCCCTTCTGCTTATTCCCGTATCATTTCTTTTCCTCCCCCTCCAAATAGACACATGAAAGCTTCTTGCTTTTCTACAAACACAGATAAAGATATTTATTCTGCTCATTCCTTCCAAAGGGACTTGACAAGGGAGAGTTTACAGTCAAGTGAAGGCTTCCAGCTCCCTTTGGAAGCAGGGGTATAAAGGGTGGGCAGACCACGCACAAACAGCTCCCTGACATCAGCTGCCTCCTGTACAGCTCCAACTGAGCACTCCTGGAGCCTTCCCAGCTCTTCAGGCACTTCTTGGTGTCGGGGTGAACACGAGAGTGGTTGCTCCAACCTTCCTGCACAGCACCCAGCCCAAAGAGGGGGTCTCTGCACAGGCAGGGTTTATTTTTACAGCAAGCTCCACTATAAAAAGCAAGGAAAGCCCATTTGAGAGGTCACCTGTACCCTTGCTGGTGGCGTGGCCGGCAGAAGCCATGGCCAGGAGACAGCACTCCATCTTTCCACCTCTCCATGCTCCACATCAGAGAGCAAAAGACAAACACCACTACCAACAAAGATTGGCTTTTCTGCTCAATTCAGTCCCTCCCCCTTCGAAAAAGCCATATGGTGCTTTGTGTATAGGGAGAGTTGCCATGGAGAGCTTGCTTGCAAGTCTTCCAGCACAACAGGCTGCAGTAAGCTTTCAAATTCCTGTCCAAAAGAGCCAAAAAAACCCCAAGAGACCTTTGCTTCTCAAGTGGCACTCCCCACGTGAAGAGCACCGTGCTCCAGGTGCCGAGAGGCCCATGGCGAGAGGCGGAGGGCTCTGCTGGCCCTTCTCCCCCACCGCACCACTAACAGCGCAGGAGGATGGATGGCTGTGGGCCACCAGCAACAGCCCTGCACAACCCTGCTCCAGCAGCACGTGGAGAGAACAAATGCTCAAATTCCCTCTGCTCTCCCGCTTGCGTCTCGAAGTGAAATCCCTCTACTCCCCTTTACATACCCTTCTCCATGCCTCTCACAGCAGAAAGCATGCTTTCATCTCTTACACTCATCCCTGATTTCACTTGACCTCTTTCCTTCCTCCTCTTCGAGGGTCGATGTGGTTAGCACACCAGGAGTCACCTCTTTCCAACACTGCTCAAAATCACAGCTTTTGCTGACGTCATTAGGGGCTGCCTTTTGTCCTCACACCTGTGTCCGCAACCAGCTTCTCCGGTGGTTTCAGCTCTATCCATCACTCCCACTGCTAGTCCTATTACATCCATGCGCAGCCAAAAATCTCAAAGCTACAAATCAGGCTCCAAGAGACCCTCCAGGGAGCCTTACTGCCCAACAATCTCCCCACAAAGAGGCTATAAGCTATATGCTAGGTCTTTTTTCCCAAATTAATTGCGCTAATTTATTTGACTGGAATATGTGGGCACGGTACCAGGCATCTGGATAAAGCTTTAATTGAACTATTGTGGCAGCACTGTTGTATCAGGGTAATGCAGCTGATATAGAATTTACAGAAGTAATTGTAACAAGTAAGAGCAGGCATGTATACTGTATCATCCAGTAAAGCTCAAGCGAATTTGGAAAAAAAACCAAAACAAAACAAAACACCAGAATATGTAAAAATCAAATTAAGCATACTATGAGGCACCTGCAGTATCCTTTTGACATCTTTTCCTATCCCTGCCTTGAAGGTTCTTCTTTCCCAGCATGTGCTCATCCAAACCCCGCTGAGATCACCACCTTCTAAGCTCATCGCATCGACCACACCACTCCCTTGAGAGAGGGAGATTTGCCACCATACAAGTTTTGCTGTGAGTCCAGCTCTGACCAGTCAGCCCCAGCACTTTTTCTCCCACACAATTGATTTTCTCTGTTCCCCAGTGCTGCCCTGCTTCTTGCTGGCTTATACCTCCACACTAAAACCTGCGCCTCCCTCTCTTCTGGAGATGCCTTCATTCCTCCCAGCGTTTCATAAAAAAATCACTGTCCAAACACTGTGTAAAGCTTCTGACAAAGACCATCTCTGTCCAAATCTTCGTGCTCTCCCACTGATGGGAGCATTCACTCTCATCTTTTACACCAACTGCAAGCCAAGGGCAACCTCTGTCCGGTATCCTTCAAGCCTCTAGAGCCAGTGGCCAACTCCGAGGAGCAGCACTGCTCACTGCAGAGACACAGCTGCACGGGGGTTTCTCCTGGACGTAGCGCATACACACAGCTCGGGAACGAGCAGGACAGGTCCTGGGCTTTTCGTGGGGGTTAATGTGTGCTGAGCACCTGCAGCAGGCAGAGATGCACCCTTCGCTGTCTTGCTGTGCTGACAGGAGAATCGCTGTGCTTCAAAAGGGCTTGGATGTGCAATCATAGCCTGGGCTTTTCAAGAAATGCAACAGAGCACAGAGCTACAGGAACAGAAGTCCCGGGGTACAGAAGGCTCCTGAAATAGATTCTAAGGACTGCTTTCAGAAGACAGGATTTCAGTGAAAAGGCACCTTGAGTGAAGAGCTGTGGGTACAGTAGTGACACACAGGTCAGAAACAGAGAAAGTTTTATCAGCTTCATATAGGAATGACCTAGAAAAACAGAGCCTTTCAGAAGTATTTAAGTCATCTGCCAACACACACTGTACATACCGCTGCAAGCCACAGAGCCACAAACTCAAAGTGATTCAAATAGTATGGATTATGCACAGCTAACAGACTTGAATTATTCAACACGGGAGTAAGGCTAGGAACCTGCATGAATGGCACAAGACCCCAAAAAACACAAGACAAAGTTATGGTTGGCTTGAGAGAACAACTGATAGAAGCTGAACTCCCTTACTAGGCACACTGCTTGAAAACAAGGTGGCAAAAAAGTATTAAAGTTACAGGCGTTTAGGAGGACCTTGCATCCAGAACAAGGAGACAGAGGGGAAGCCACCGTCCAGCATTTCCAGAGGCAGTTCAGGGTCTTACACCTTCATCAAAGCTCAAGCACCCACGAGTTGTTAGTCCCTGAAGGACAAAGCCAGCACCAGCCCAGCCATCCACCCTTTTGCTTTCCGTAAGTGATCCAGGAGTACAGGTATAATCTGATGCTTACGCACAAAGTGCTAGCACTGATCAGAGCAGGAAAGAGCAGCTTTCTCTACGGGCCAGGAGCACTTACTGAAAACTAGCATTTTACAAGCAAAAATTACACAACGAAATAACTGAGCGGCAGGCTCGGGCTCCCAAGGAGGCAGTGTCAGAATTGAGGTTGCTTACACAACCCTCATCCAAGCCCCTCTCGGCTAATGCGCATTAGCAGCCCTTTGTTTCCTGAATATCACTGCTCACGGATTGGTACTTATCACACATTCCTTTTGATCCTCTTCACGCAGTGCAGGCCCTCGAGCTTTGTTTAGACATCCCATCTAAAGACATAATAAAAAGAATTAATTTCAAGGTATCCAAGGCTTTTTGGAAGTTTAAATCCAGCCGCCTTCACCTCCGAGACCAGGTGAGCACTGCTGCCTCCACTGCAGCCATGGACCAGAGACAGGAAACCACCACTAACACACATGGGATTTGGCATTGAGTTTAACATACAGGTCCTTATTTTTAATTCTCAGCAATTTGAGATGTCTTTTCAGTGTGTACTAGTCATCAAGACCAGCTCAAACTCCTCCAGACTTATGCCAGCCTGGAACAAAGGCTCACTGATGGAGGTGTGGAAAACAAGGACCAGGCTTGCGGCCACCAGCAAGTGGTTCAGAACCACTTTGTGACGTGCCAGCAGAAAAGGCTCGAGAGACTGAGCCTCCAAAATAGCACAAGCTGCCCTGGTGAGGAGACCTCCTGATGTCCTCCATCTCCAGTCTAGCTTCTGCTTTCAACAACTCTGTATTTCGGGAAACAAAGCTGAATTTTTCAGCCAGCAGCTTTATTCCCTGTTCTGTGAAGAGACCGAGGCAGGACCTCTGGAAAGAGTGCATGCAACTATGCAAACAACAGAACGTCTTAACTTAGCTTCCCAGAGCACACTAAATGTAGACTCAACCTTTGGGACCTCCAACGGCCGGTCTCCTGTCAAGCGTTTGAGCACACTGAAGTAGAAACTCTTCTAGATGCTCCACATCCAGCCTGATTCAGGCAGGAGCACACAGAAAACAAGCAGCAGCTCCTAGGTATGATGGCCCTGCAAGCAAAATAAAATTAAAGAGAACCCTGGCTCAGGAGCCCGGATGCACCAGAGCTTTTGACATACCAGATAAAGGCAGAAACAAAACAGTTTCTTGGCCCGCTCACATCAACTGGGGCACTGGCTGGATGCCACCATCCCACCACGAAGCGTTTCAGCCTTCCACACCAGCTCCAGCTCAAAGCTCCCACATGGAGAAATAAAGATAGCCATTAAAACCAGTTCAATCCTCCCCAGCTCACAGCTTCCAATCCTGTGCCGGAGAAATGCTTGCAATGTACTTACCTTCAAGCACAGCTAAATATCATTATCAATGCAACGGCCTGTGTGAATCGAGGCACAGCTTGCCTGCAGAACCACCCAGGGCCTGGATGCGAGCATTAAAACAAGCCCTTTCAACACCTGCAGCACTTGCAAATCATAACATGCAGACATTAGTGTTTGGCATTCAGCACTTGCAGGTCCTACTTGCCATTTCTGTCCCCCCCATTAGCCATACCACAAGCTGAGGACAACTAATGCAACACTGATGCTAAAAGCCTTTTCAAAGCAATCACCGAGCCCTGGTACGTGATTTGGATCAGAACCACCCCACCTGCCTTTGGGCAGCACATCATGTACAGGTGAATGGCAAGGCTGGCCAACAACTGTACAGACACCTTCTACTCCAGCCAAGGCTCTGACTTAAAAAAAACCCCAAAACTAGTGTTTTAGTAAAAACTAAACAGCTATTATTTATAAAGTGGGCAAGTCTGAGATCAGAGGCTAGGTCCTGACCCAAACTCAGCCTGAGTTTGAGGGAAACTGGAGAAAGAAAATATGTAAGAGGAGACATTAAAGTACACCTGCAGGGAGAATTCTTCCCAACATGGCATTTCACACTTCTGAGCCATCTCTTAGAAGTGATGGTTGTGTTGCTTAAAAACTTCCTGTCTGTTACAGTGAGTGTCAAGCAGCCAGTTTGCCCTCCTGCTGCTGGCCACAGCAGAGCAGTTTGGAGCCCCTGTCCTCCAAAGTTCCCTGAAAGCTATGCAGATTAACAGGAAATTGCTCCTTAAGGCTCACATGACTGAATACCCTTCCCCATTTTTCACCCTAACTCTCCACATTGCCAAAAAATCCCTTGTAAAATGAGCCAAACTGTGTCCCACGCATCACTGAAGGAGGGAGCTGTACTTTTTTAAAAGTGCTTTTGCTCCAATTGGCTTCTGTAAAAGAAACACTGCCCCCCCCCCCCAAAAAAAAAACCAAAACAAAACAAAAACAAATTAATGGAGGAGGGTGCTCTAAAATTGGGTTTTAATTCTTTTCCCAGCATAAGATTCCCCAAAGTGAGGAGGACGGTGTCAGAGACATTCCACAGGTTGACAGCCCTACCTTCCTGCGTTATTAAGACAATGCAAATAAATGAGTGACGTGATGCAGCACTCCAAAACCATAAGCTACGCAATGCAGGCGCCAGCAGGGATTATCAGAGCTTCATTCAAAAGCTGACTTAATCACTACGGATATAAACTTATCAAACCTCATTCGGACAGTTTTCAAAGGTTTGGGGAACGTTTTGTTGGCTAGAAAAGAATCCGCCGCCATTATTTGTGCTTGCTCTTGTAGATGAAGGAAGACAGATGAGGAACGTGACTGGATGGGAAGCACTAGACCTTTTCAATCCAGAGTACAAGATCTCTGAGAAGTGAACCAAGGGGCTGAGAGGTTACAAACATGGTGCCCAGTTCCTACCGCCTCAACAGGAGCGTTTTTATTAGAAGTTGCCACGTGATCTATGCTGACCTCTCTAAAACTATTAACCGCATTAATAAAACTATATGCAAAACAAAACAGGCTTCAAAAAGGAGCAAGAGAAGAAGCCACGGGAGAACACAAGTCGCTGACTCAATACAGCTCTGCTCGCAGAGTTGCAAGAGCAACATGGGAGCGAAGCCATCCTGCTGTGCCCGCGTTGAGCTGCAACAGGTAACTGTGGTCCAACACTGCCATCCTGGGGGTCTCTAATGGGAAAATTCTGCACTGGTCACCTCATTAGCAGGAGTCTTTCTTATTTGAAGGTGAAATAAGCTGCCCAGTGGTTAGACAGGAGCACTCAGACTATATGCACTTGGAAAAGGTGATCATCAAGGAGAAAGATTATCCGAGAGACACACGCATCAACGCAGGAGGAGACACGGCTTGGTACAGGCAGAACAGGATTGAGATGAAGAACCGAGCTGTGGTCAGCCAGAACACCAGGAAAAGGTTTCTCTCGTTGCAGGGGGGATGCCCACCAGGGCCAGCCTGCCTGCAGCTCACCCATCACAGGCCAACCCGGCGGCTCTGCAATCAGAACCAATTTCCCAGCAAAGCCACATCACACACAGCCTTCTCCTGTCTAAGAGTGAGACCAGGAAACGCTCAGAGGGAACAAGCTTTTGCCACATCAATCTCTCAAGGCATCACAAGGGTACACTCACCACCCAGTCACAAGCCTCCAGGCTGTGACAGAGCCAAGCAGGGCTCCCAGAGGAGCAGAAGTCATAGGTGAGTAATTATCCCTTCATTAATAACACCAGATTGACTGGATTTTTAACGAGAAATGGTCTGACAACTCTGGCTTGCCTGCTTTTGCAAAGGTAGGATGATGGGCTACATACTTTCCTTTACCTAAGCTCAGGAAGCCAACCCTACCTGATTTCTGGCCAGATGTTTCTGGTGAGGATGAAGGAGACACTCTCCAGCTTCCTGGGGAATCCCTCACTCCAGAGCAAACATGCAAACCTGAGAAATCAAAACAGGCACGACCGAAACCACCACCACCACTACGACCCCCCATTTGGAGCCACCAGCCCAGCTTCCTCCCACACACTCCCCAAACCACAGGCTAGCCCAGTCTCCCAAATATATTGGCAGCAGCAGATGTGGAACAAAACAGCATACTCCCAACAAAGAAAATAAAACATGATGGAGAAATACTGAGACAGCAGATGGATGATGAGAAATGTCTATTTTCTAAGAGAAGTTGCCTTTGTTTTCTTTTTAGTCATCATCTCCGCAGAAGAGAGCGTGCTAAGAATTGCTCCAAGGCTCTCTATTTTTGTATTGACCATCTCCCCAAGAAAACAGGTAGTCCCTGCAGTGTTTTTCCTCCTCCTTTGCCAGAGAAATTAGTTTTCTTTTGGGCGAACTTAAGCCTTTTGTTTGCACTTTAAACTCACTCCAGCTTGCCTTTATCAGGTTTAGGATTATGGTCTGAGGGTTTAAGCAGCCACCACAAGTTTTCTTTTCTTTACTTCATCGGGATACACGGAAATCCCTCCACTCTGCAATTTGCTGTGATTTGCAGGAGAGCTGGCTACACAGTAATGCTTTCCCCTTGCAAGGACTTGTGTACAAATGGTGATGCTTCAGGCATTTCACCACAGGTCAGCTGCTTGCTGCAGGAAGCGAGGGGCAGCTTTGCAGTGCTATGAACTAGATCTCCCTCAGACTGTGTGTATTTTTGGACCTGCAGCCTGTTACACTCCATGATGGTGACTGGATGTAGCAAGACTCTCTGGCATATGCTTCAATATATTCATAAAAAAAAAATTCTCAAAACGGGAGAGATGCTCATGCCAATCTCCCACTCCCCTGGACCCCGCGGGCTGCTGAGCCTTAGCAGCAGTTTTACAGCAGCATGTTTGAGTAATTCCCCGCCGTTCTGAACCCAGAGCTGCGAGGAGGCCTACGGACACAGTTTCTCCAGCACTTCTGCGCTTCTCCCAAAAGTAGGTCAATGCAGCATGTCATCTGCCAGGCTGTTCTGGGGAAGACACGCTCCCTGCTCAGGCATGGTGCACAACGAGCAGGCCAGCCTCGTCCCTGATGGAGCCCTTCACCCAGCTGCCAAGCTACAAATATTAATACAACCTATCGTTTACATAAATTAAAAGAGAAATGCAAACAACAAAAAAAAAGCCATGGTGAGCCAGAAGTGCCCCTCCACCATCAGCATCCGAGTCCTTTCCCTAGCATATTATAGCAGAAATAAATAGTGACTTAAAAGAGCTTGAGGGCGATGTGGGCTGTGCAGCTCTGCTCGCCGCTGCTCCAGAGCTTGGCAGCAGGACAGGTTTCACAGGCGAGGAGCATCTCCTCGTTCCCCACCACCCCAGCCACTGCCCCGGCTTTGAAGGGGAACAAGCAGTTACCTCCACTCATCCAAATCTCCCAGCTTACGCTAATGCGGGGAAAGTTTGTAGTCACTTAACCTTGCTGAATCCTGGCAGCTGCACGGCTGGAGATAAATAGTTTTGTGGGTGGTGTTTTTGTTCCTGGTTTTGCTTTTAAGTACTACATATCCCTCCTCCCCGTTGAGCCAGTTCGGTGTTATCCTCTCCAGTATGAAAGTATTCCATAATAGAAATAAAAGCACGTGCACCGGGAGTGCCATGCACTGAGCTCCCATCTCTCCGCTGCTCTGATGGAGGTAGCAAAGCTGCTCCCTGCCCCATGCCGGCTGCGGGCGAGCCGAGGAGCATCCTCCCCTTTCAGCCCTGCAGTCAGTAGTTTGCTCAGCAGCAGCAATGCAGGTGCCACGGCGGGAGCACGAGCAGCTGTTAAAAACAAGTGTGGAGAACCAATCTACCTCTGCAAAGGTACAGCTGACCCCCTGCTTCGAGAGGTGTGATAACAAAGGGTTTGGCAATAGGCATCTGAGGAGGCAGCCCCTTTGAGGCTGGGCTAGCAGCTGCCCACGCTGTGCAGCATTCTGGGGCTCCTGGGAGCACAAGACCGACTTTTCTTCTCCGAAGATGTAGCGTGATGTGGGTTGGGGGAAGAGAGCAAACGCCTCAGTGCCACCTGCCCTGAGGCTTTCTGCTGTGTCCTGCCCTCACCCAGAACAGCCTCTTGGGATGGAAGTTGGGCTGGACTCACAACTGCTCAGTCCTGCATCCGTTCCTGCCCTCACCCTGAGGACCTCCATCCCACCCTTGTTCTCCTTACACCCGGAGCATCAGACTCTCACAGGAGAGTGCCTCTGTGCCCCAAGATACACCTGACCCTCTCCTGTTAGAGATGCCTCTGCAAGAGAGGGATGGAGAGAGACCTCAGCCCATTTTGACCACAGGACACCACCAAAGCAGCTCACCTCCACCACAGACTAGCGTGCACACTCCTAATTCCCCATCCCCTGCGAGCAGGGGAAGTTACACAGACTCAATAGACAGCCCTCACGTATTTTCATGGGCAGGCCTAGAGGTTTCCAAGAAAAGTGCTTAAAGTACCACTATTTCAAGAAAAAAACCCCAAGTTCGGTACTTCCAAGGAAAGCTTGGCTGCTTCTGTCCCTAGCAGAAGGGGTCACAGACGATGAGCACATGGACTCCAAACTTAACAAGCACAGTAATGGTGCTACTGGCATCCCTCTGCACTACCAGGATGAGGAGAAGTCTGATCTACAAAGAACAGCAGGGGGGATAATTTCTTTTTTTCAAGCATAGATATAAATTTTAAAATGACAAGTCTTCACTACTTTCAGGGGCAGAATTAACACTCATCTTTATAAACTCCTTATCCCAACAAGCAGTACATATTGTGTGTATATATATATATACACACACACTAGAGCAGGGTAAGATGCAATGCAAAAAAAATGCAGAAGACATAATCAGCGCAATTTTGATTTTATTCTTGTTCATGAATCAATCTTGATTTCCCATTCATGGCAGCCCCCGCTCCCTGAACGACAGCTGTACACAAAGAAGCATCTGTCCTACCTTCAGCCATCAAATGAGCTGTCTCCCTAATCGGTGATGGTTTAGCCGGGGTTAGGAACAGGCAAGATCAGCAGGGAAAGTCTTCACTGCAGCAATGCTGCATGAATAAGGAGATCAGCAGATCTGATGAGAACGTAGGAAGTGCTCATGCGAGTGCCAGATACTCACCGAGTTTAGTCAAACGTGCACACAAGCTCTCCTTCCATCTGCTAAGCTTCAGTGAAGACTTGCCTTTTAAAAAGCAAATGCCTTGAACATTAAATTGGGCCTGGGTACCCCCACTGAGAAAGCGTGCTTACATGTCAGCAGTAGCCTGTTGCAAACACTACCATATTTCCAGCATCAGTCTGGAAGAGAGAGACCACTGAAGATGCACACAAACACAGCCTCAGAAATAATTACCGGATTGGAAGCATGCAAGGGAATGTAAGCTTTGGCTTCTGGAATTATCCCCATGCAAGGAAAGCTTTCATTTGGCGTAGCAAAAGCCATCTGCAATGCAGATCCTACAGACGGAGAAAAAAAAAAAAACTATACACAAACCAAACAGTGGTTTACATTACCAGACAGAGCCAGATATCCAAGACGCTCTGCACCTTCAAACGCTCTGTAGAGCCAGAGCAGATCCGTGTCACCAGGGCAGCAGCCAGCCTGGCTCTCCAGAAATTAATTCAGAGCTGCTGCGTGCTATCTAGCAGACTCATACAAGCACTAAGTGGTTCACGGGCACCCAGAGCCGTGAGCTCAGAGATGTCATCTAGCTGCTATCAGATCCAGAGGCGTCTCTGAGACGCCGGATCAGCAAGTAAGCAGCGCGGGAGAGGGGAACATTGCTGCTCCCCTTGCAGCAAGGCTGCAGAGCACGACCTGCACATGGAGTGAGCAACGTGGGTATAATGACTCAGATCTGGGTTTGAGAACTGCTCTGCAGTTCCCTCTCTTGGCTGTAAGCTTTTAAGATGTAACGCTCCCAGCCTTCATCCAGGGGGAGAGCTAGATATGTGCTTTTCTTTCAGGAAATTCCCAAATTGGCATGCAGGTAACCAGGAGGAAACCAACCATTTAGGGGCATGAAACTCCAGCTGCAGAATCTGCGGCTTCTGCTTCAAGGATACACCCACTGAAATCCTCCCAGGGCTGCTCCTGGGAACCGAGTGACGCAGCTCCACAAAGACTCCGACCAACTCAAGTTGGCCCTGCTGCCACTTCCAATTACTAACGGCGCAGGGTTTTTACACAGGCTCTTCTGCAGCAGCCTGCCAAAGCAAGCCAGCCAGCCCAGCTGAAGCCCTGACCACCAGCCAGCCCTTTATTTGCTATTCAACACCCTGCCCTGCACCCGCCCCAGCCCTGCCTCGCTCCGCGCTTTTCCCTTCAGCCTTTGGAAACCTATCAAATGCCTTTGGTGAGCTCAACACACTCCTCCTGCTAAATGCCTCTTATTCAACCCCAGAGGGGGTATCTCCACTGAGCTGTGGCTCGTCCGACTCCTGAACCAGCTACCCCCCGAAGCTGGCACTGCCAGGGTCCCCCTCCAGCCTTGCCCCCAGCTCGCTCCTGCCAGCCGCCTGCTGTCCCTGCGAGCAGGAACTTGGTTATAGCTTCCAGGTTTGGGTGTTGGCTCTGGAGCTACATTTTCCATCTTCCCAAATCCAAAGAACTTTCAGCAGAAGCATTTGAGAAAAAACAAAAACAAAAACAAAAAAACCCAACAACAAACAAAACAAAACAAAACAACAACAACAACAACAAAACAAAACAACAAAAAAACCACATTTGACTATTTCCATCCTCAGGATCTCCCTTGAGCTCATGAACACATCTATTTCTCAGTGGATGCGCTGTCTGCCCTCGATGCACAGGGGCCCCTTTGTTCAGGGATAAGAAGCCAAGGCAGAAGGGATGGATGAGGCTGCGAGCTCCAGGAACGCACCTTCCCCTGCCTGACAGTGTGGTTATTTGAACCGACACTAACAGCCATCCCCCTGCGTGCAGGGGGGGTACCTGCACATAGCCCATTTTCAGTGGGCTTTTCTTCGGAAGACAGATCTTACAGATGTTTCAGCCCAGAGCACGTGCATGGATTACACAACTCGTTCATTACTGTTTGAGTTCAAGTGAGAGTACTGGTCTGCTACAAAGAAGAGACATTAAATATGTCCTAGTGGATGTTGAGAGGCCTCTGTAGAAAAAAAAAAAAAAAAAAAAAAAAACAACGAAACAGGTATCTGAAGCTTAAAAGGTTTTAAAATATCCCGTCAAATAAAAGAATCTGCTTGTGAGCACAACCCTTTTTTGTCTGAATCCAGCTGTGGCTGACACTACCCGTACTTGGTGTTTGCCAACTAACTCCCCCTCCAGCAGCAGTTCCTGCATCCACCGTGCAGCAGACTGGAGTTGCTCTCTGGTCCAGGCACCATGGCTTCAAATTACAGACACCATCTCACTACCCTCAGTCCCCGGCTCAGCTCCTTGCCAGACAAATAGAGACCTTACTCCTGGTCTGAGTTTAAGTAGCTTGCATACAATCCCTTAAAACTGTTTCTCACAGAGGAGATCCCCCATGAGCTGTAGCTTCTAAGCACGACGAATGCAGCAGTCACGCGGGCTCCCTCTCCATTCCTCTTCCCATGCAGACTAGAAAGATATCGTGTTGGATCTCACTGATGGTAGCTGGGTACACCAGGTTTTCCTCTGGCTGCGGATTCCCTAGGCATTACACACCTCATCTGGCTTCTTTAACATACTCTCCTTCCCGTAAGTATTATTACTGCCTCCACTACATTATCAGCTTTTGCTCAAATTTTGCAATACAAGGACATAAAATTCCACTTTTCAGAGTTATTTATCATCCCTGACGCACTGCCAATGTTTGTTCCACAGTTCCCCCCCTCTGCTTTGCTATTTACATACTGCAGGACTGGCCCGTTCGTTGTCCAGGCACCATCCACACACGCTTTAAAAGCGGGCAAACCTCACGCTTCGTGGAGCGGGGGGAGGACGTGGGTGTCCCAGCAGCCACATGAGCGGGAAGGGCCGGGACACAGCAGGTTGCGAGGAGCTGAACTTGTCCCAGGGGCATCTCTGAGCCTGCCTCGCCGTGCCCGGGCGGTCCCCCGCGGTCCCCGTGCCAGCCCGCTCCCGGCAGACGGCTCGGAGCTGGGCCTGAAACCGAGCCCAACCGCCCGAGAGCCACGGGCTCGCTGCCTCCCGCACAGGGGAGAGCCTGCGGGCCACCCAGGCTCCACCACCCAAAGCACTCGGATGGCAGTCACATATAAACGCAGCCGGCACATCTATACACACGTGAGGACCATGTTCTCCTATTAAGCCTTCTCTTTGGGAAGGGTAGAAGATAAGACAGCCACAACTAGCTAAAAGACTCTCAATTAAAGCCTCAAATCCAGCTTCTGTAGCACGCAGGTCACTTTGCTACCACGAAACAATTCCCATCCCTTTGCTGTTGTAAACTCTGTCTGGCCAGGTAATGCTGGCCACGGTGGGGAAAGGGCAGGGAGGTGGCATTGCGGCTTTCAGTGCTGAGCGGGTAAATGGTGCTTTGCTCCGCACTGAAGGCGGAGGGAAGTTCAAGGAGTCCTAGATCGGCACGTTCCTCGGCCAGTGGGAACACACCTCAAACAGCTGGCACAGGAATCAGACCAAGATGTTTAGTATCCTCCCTGGACAGAAAGGCCAACTGAACACAAAAGCAATTGTAAGGAAAGCCGCTGACCATGGAAGTTTTGCTAGCTTTGTAACTGCACCTTCAGTTTGCCAAGCCAGACCATAAGTGCTCAAGTAAAACCACAGCTACTCTCCTACAGAAAGTCTCCAAGAGCGGGGGGAGAGGGAAAGAAAAGTAGAGCAGCTTCAGAAATAAACCCTTACCTACATTAAGACAGACACTGCAAGGTACAAGCTTACATCAGGTCTCCCTTCAGTGACTGACCAAAGAACTACAGAGTACCAGGAAATGCAACAGAACTATCTCTGGCTAAAAATAGGCCCAGCTAATTAACAAAACTTTGTTAAAAGGGCCACCCAGCAGCAACCATAACCTCTTTCTTCACAAAGGGATGATCAATATTGACTGTCTCAACAGCAGCAGCAAATTCTCAAGATCATTTCAACATGAGAAACTGGGCAGCTGGTGAGACTCAAAGGAACTCGCTCTGTACCCTGTCCGGGGTTTCTTTTATAACTGCTTAATGCCGTGCAATGTTAGAGCGCTCTGCCTTTCTTAACCACTGTAATAAATACATATCAATCTCTTTCAAGTTTAATAAATAGAGATCCTAAAAGCTTTGTCTGGATCTGCTTTTTCCATTCAATTAATATAACACAATACCAGAGCAATGAATTATTGAAAAGAAATACAAGCCAGAGCTTTCACAAACATGCTCTACTCCAATAGCAATTTATTACAAATTAATAGCATGCTGCATTTCCTCCTGCATCACGAGAACTGGGAATCAGCTGCACTGTCAAGCCACACCAGCCATGAAAACTTCGGTGCTACCATGAAACACTACAACCCTGAGCACAAATAAGCTGAGGGTGGGAGGGGGGAGCAGAAGGAAGGATGGACAGTCGACAGAAAAACAGAAGTTCCTTCTACTTTGAGGGCTTTCTGCTTATGAAACAAACGTGGTTTGTATAGGAATACTTAGTCTTTTCACATCTTTGCTTGTATCAGCACTCAAAGGCATGCTCAGCACACGGGGCTGACATGGTGCGTGTTCATTGCTGCCTAAAAGCAATGCTGAAATTTAAGACAAGCATCGCTCTGAACAGAATTGATATACGTTCAAGTATGATAATTCATATTTGCACATTTAAAATTACAACTGCTCAGCTTCCAATATTTTTCACACCCTGCCCTTAACAACACACTTCCCCCAAGTGACCCTCCGACACTCCTGTTAGAGATGAATCGCAAACTGAAAAAACAAGTTTTTCTTCAGCAAAGAAGTTCAAATGCCAACCCAGCCAGAAAGATACTTCACATTTCACCAAGCTATCGCTCTGGCAGTACTCGCAACAAGCCCATCAAGAGCAACACGGGGATTGTCACAGGCCTGTTTAAAGATTACCTACCAGTCAGTGAGTTCAAAGCTCTTGCTTAATGTGTTTCTTGCTAGAAATCATGTGAGCATGCTGAACCTCCAAATATTTGGAGCGAAGGCAAATGCACTAGTGGCCAGCATTTGGAAGATGTTACACTCTGCAGCAGGCAGACAGACATCTCCAGCAGCGTGTCAGCCAAGAGTTGCTCCTCGGTCAGAGCAGCAAACCCCCACAAAACCATAGATGAGAGCAGACACCAAACCAGAAGGGATTTTTCTCTCGATAGCTTTTCTGTTTCCAGTGTATGTTTAGGAAGGAACTTTCCTGATAAACAGGAAACTTGCAACCACCACCACAACTACTTGTACCACCTTTTTTAACTCCATTATTAAATGCACCCAACCTCTCCCCCTCTTCCTCTCCACCCAACACAGAGCAGTAACTTTTCAGAAAACCAAACCCAGTTTGTTTTCACCAAGCAACTTCTCAGCTCAGTTAACCCCAGTGGTGTTAAATTTGGTGTCTTCCTGTCCTCACTCTCAGCACAGCAGCAAACTCACCTCCATTTTTGATAGCTCTGATCCCTCGATGGAAATCTTCAAAGCTGATGACCCCAAGACCGCTTGGATCGAGGTACTTTGTTAGGTCCTTTACCTGCAACCACAAAAGCAGTGTTACCCATAGACCCTTTGAGAAAATAGCATCTTCCATCAGAGGAAGACCTTGTAACAAATCTTTCCTCCTTAAAAAAAAAAAAAGATTTGAGCTAATGACAGCAAATTGTGGCCATTCTCCTTGAAGGGAACATAAGTAATCAGTAAAGAGAGGTTAATTAGTACTTAGCTGGCGCTGAAACTATTGCTTAGTCCTGAAACATAGGTTAGGGCAGTATTTCTTGCAACTCAGTCCTTCTCTGCCAGGAATTTGTTTATTTTTGTTTTTTAAAGAGGTCCTATCTTAATTGGGAAAACTCGGTAATAGGCTGCCTGGTAGAAGAGTCCAATTAAGACGATTCTGTGGTAATGAACTGTTCCACGTTACAAATTTAGGTCATATATTTGAAACATTTTCAGAATTAGACAATGCCCGAGGGGGGAGGGAATCACGTCAGCTAGCAAGGATTAGGATGTGTGTGCCGGAGCAGGCACACACGTGGAGCAAGGAACGCTTGTGAGAGCTGGCAAGGATGATCTGGGCACTTGAAGCAGAACAAGCTACACTCTGAGGGCGAAACCAAAGTCATTCCTCATGGTCCAAACAAAGGCGCGTGTGATTCCAGGCTGCCACAAGCCTGCCCTTCAGAAAACCCTTTACATCACTGATGCTTCTCAAACCGAGACAATCAGATGTTTTTTCTGCTTTCAAAAATATGCAGACCCTCACTTTAAGAGATACTGAGGCACCTATGTGTATTTTAGAGCCACATCCTTCAGCTCAGAAACAAGCCCAGGAGGAAGCAGGGTGCAAAAGGGAACCGCACAATTTGCTCGGTGCTCAAAGGCTGCCCGCACCGCTGCCCTCGCCCTGCCAAACACACCGAGCTCTCCTCCTCCCCCCGAGCTGTCGCACAGGGGGTCTGCAGTGCTGGCTTTGTTCAGCTCTCATGAGCACAACCAGTTGCCTTTTGATGTTTTGGCTTGTTCTTGGAGAAAAAGATGGCGCATCACCAAACCTCTCCTTCCAGGGAAGGAAACCTCGCATTTAAGAGGAGACTTACATCTAAGGGTGAGGAGGGCGACCAAGCCCCACCGAGGTGCTCAGAGCTGCCGGGCTCATTACACATCAGCTGGGGGGTCGGTTTGCTTTCTTTTTGTTTTTTCTTAAACCCAGGTATGCGTTTATGCAGGAAAATCACATCTGCCACACACCCAGAGCTGTTCACCTGCGCGTCCACATGGTTTCAAAGATGATGTGGGGAGGAACGAGATGCCTCTGCTTAAGACATCCCACCCCCCTGCAGCAGCGGTGAATACGCTGTCGGCACGGAGGAAACCACAGGGCTCAGACCATAAAAACCACTCAGCTCTGCCGCTATGGGGTTGCCACGAGGGAACCCCCCAAACCCCAGTGCGACCCAGCCTTGCTCACCTGCTGGCTTACACCATCATGAACAGGGAAGATGACAACACAAGCATCTTTTCAAGTTTTCTGGGGAACTTTTTCCAATAGACAGATAGCAAAACTGCTGAACTCACATGGCACACATTGACATGGATGAGTCAGGCTTCTTGTATGTTAAACAAAGGTATTTTAGACTAATAAAAACAACTCTCAGGAATGCGTTGGCTCCAGTTAATGCATCTGGCAGCTTCTGAGTCAAAAGCTGTAGCTTAATTCGTTATCTGTGTATATAGATAACAGAAACGCAAGTGACATCTAATCAGACTTGACAAGCCTGTAAGTGATTATCAGGACACACTCTAAAGTGTAGTTTCTGTAAAGATCCAGCCATGATGACACATGGGACATGCCAGGCAGGGCGGCTCACAGTGCTGCTGCACCGCGGGCAGCTTCTCAGGGCCAAGGAGAGTTCCAAGCCCTCATGACAATACCCCAGCGAGGCACCTCTCCCACACTGGTGCTTGTGCAAAAGAGACAGAGCAGCTGGACGGGTATTTTGTTTATGCAAAAGAACCACCTATGCATTTAAATGAAGCTGTAGGCAGGGGGAAACGAAGGGAACGTTTCTTAAAACTTCACAACCCTGACATTACAGATGCAAACAAAAGCCACGCAACTGATAAAGCTCAAGCCCATTGTAGTATATCTGTGCTGGTCCAGGCTTAAAAAGAACTCGGACCATTAAATAACACACGTGAGACATTGCCAGACTGAGCGTGAGTGGCCACTGGTGCTCAGAAGAGCTCACAACACACAGAACACAGGCACACCAGCAGTGCCCCCAGCCCCGGCAGGGAGCTGCCCAGGGAGAGCAGAGGCTGTGTCCTGCGGGCCAGCACCCAGTATCTCCCAGCACCCACAGTGATGGAGCCAGGGATGCTGGGGGGGGGACATCCCTGCCCAGGCCCCTCGCTGCCCACCAGCATCCCAACTTGCCTCCACCGCCCTGGGGCTGCGAGCTCCAGCAGCTTACTACCTGCTCTGTGCAGGAGCGCCTTAACTCTTCTGCACCCATTTTGTGCCAGTTCCTCAACTGCCTCCCAGTTCTACCACCAAAAGATACAGCAAGCTGCAAATGTGATCCCCCTGGACCCTACTCTCCTCCTGGAGGGGTCCCAGCCTGCCCACCCTCCCTTTACAAGGCTGCTGCTCCAGCCCCTCGGCCATTTCAATCGTGTTTCTTGTTCTCTCTCCACCTCCCCCCCCCCATCCTTTTCGAAGACAAAGGTCAGAACTACACACACTATTCAAGACAGGGTACATCAAGAGCTTGAAGGATGCCAAACGAAGGTCCTCGGCGTCACCCCGCTGCCGCCTCGTTCACTCCCGAGCTGTCGGGGCCCGAGCCACCCGCACTGGAAAGGGCCAGCGGCAGCTCCAGCATCTCGCTCCTGGGTTCACCGCCAGTTTTCTCCATTTCTTCAATTTGATGACTAAGCTAAAAACACTACTTTACTAGGACAGTTGGGAAAAACCCCAAGCATTACGGCTCAAACTGGTTTAGATTACCAAATCTTAGCAGCTCTTAAGTCACAGATTTGTTGGTTTTAGCTGAAGACTAATCTGCAAGAGCGGAGTAGTTAACGCCACACTCCTGTTCGTACAAAAGCAAAAAAGTTAACAGTCTACCAAACTGCAGTGTTAAGTTAAAACCAGGCAGATATAAGCTAGTCACAGGGAGGTGCTGGCTGCTTTTTGCCAGCAAGAAACATTCAAAACAAAGGTTTTGCTTCATGTGCATGTTTGTAGCTGGTTACAAACTCTTTCTGAAGAAGGAACAGCTAGAAATACAGAGCATTAATGAGTCAGACACGGTTTAAATAGCTGATTTAAATCCTGGTGGAAAGTGAGAGGTTTAAACTACCTGAAGTCCATCTACCTTAAGCTGAGCACAGGCACAAGCAGAACCGGTGGTGAGCGCTGCCAAAGGGGCTCTGCTCACCCCTGTGCTGGGGATGAGGCACAGCCCTGACCAAAGGTGGAATGAGCTCTGGCACGAGTCTGTAAGGGATTTCTCGTGGTAAGGGACACTGAGAGGGAAGCAGACTGGGGAGGAGGAGGGAGGTTATCTAACATCTCAACAACAGAACAAGAACTACTCATTGCACCAACCACACGCTACCACATCTTCTTCTGTATTAAAGAGCTCTGCGCACTGGCAGGGTGTTTTGCCTTCCAAAACCAACAAGATCTGCTGCCAACCAACACCCACCTCCAACAACTCCCTCCGACCAAGCCACCTCCGAGCGCGTATGCCAGCACCACGCTGTACTGCTTTACCGGCTGTTAAGGGCTTCCCCACCCTGTGGAGCACAAAGAGAGCTTCCTTGCTTGGATGCAGTGAAATCAGTTCAGTAAGCGACTCTGAGCCTCAGCTAAGCCAAAGGTGACAACTCCAAATTCAAATTAACACAAAGGCTTGGCAGCCACACAATGAAAGTTTTCCAGGGGGGTTAGGGATTCCCCAGCTGTGTGTGGCCCTGTTAAGCAGGCTGGAGGAAAAGGAAAAGGAAGCTCCAGGCCTCTTCTCTTTATCCTTACGGACGCTCCACGTCTCCACCACACAGCAGATGGATTCAGCAGAATAAAATACCCACTGTCTTTGTTTTAAGCACTGATCTCCAAAAGGAGCAAGGGCTGTGCTGGCCAGCCGAAACCCTCCTTGTAACCCCTGAGCCTGCCAGTTTTCCTTCATATTCTGGCAGAGACTGGGGCTGAATCAGCTTCCAAAAAGAAATTCTTCTGAGGGGTGAAACAAGGTTGGGAGATTTCTAGTGGCCACAGCAGCCAGGCACCCCACAAGAAAGAGATGGTGGAGCTCAGCTCCGACAGTCGTATATTATCTCACATGGATGATGCTTCCAGCCTAGCCACAACCAGGTCTTGCCCACCACACCACATAAGCTGGTTATTTGATGATACAACAGTGAGAGTAATAAGTCAGCATTTCAGTAATCCTTTACTCTACATAGATTCTGGAAGCAAATCCAGGAGACAAAGAGGGGAAATCGATACTGACATATTCTTGCTAAATATCCCCAAATACTCGAGGCAGGCCAGCAAGCAGGTTGCAGTTCCCACCAAGAACTTGCGCACCTGCAGTCTCACACACACTGCGATAAGCAAAAACAGATGTTTTCGCCTTGAAGTTGCTCCCTCCTTTCCTTGGAAAGGATTCAACGTGTGGTCTCAGTCTTCTGAGTAACAGGACAAGCACCGAGGTAAGTCATGGGAAACTGAGCAAGGGTGAAGATGTGGTCTGCTTAACAGATGACTTCTGCTCTCAGGCCCTCAAAGGGACCAACCACATGGATTATGTGCAAGAACCTAGAGAGATGTTAGAGACCTAGAGAACCCAGCGAGCTGTTAGAAAGACACCAAGAGACCTGTTCTGATATGGAACAGAGACTCACCAAGAGTCTGGTTGAACTGGGCATCTGGCTTGGCATGTTTTGGCCACTGGAGCAATCAAGAGGGACAGACCAGCCCATGCAGGAAAAAAATCCACAAAAGCAGTAAGCCCAGTCCAGATT